CTCCCTTCTCGCTCCCCTCCGCTCCGACTCTCTCCTCTCTCCTTCTGGAACTTTCCTTCCCTTCTTCTTCTCCGCTCCCTTCTTTCCCTCCTTTTCTCTCTTTTTTCTCTTTTTTTTCCTTTCTCTTCTCCCTTTCCCGACCTCCCTTTATACCCTACTAGCCTACCCAAAACGATGTCGTTTTCCTTCATCCCAAAACGACGTCGTTTTTTTTCTTTCAAAACGACGTCGTTTTTCCCCTCTTTAAAACGACGTCGTTTCCTACCTATTAGAAATTTATTTATTTTATTATTTTTTTTTTCTAGTCCTTACAATGATAGAGGTAAGAATTAATATTCCCTGCAGCTAAATAGTTTAACCCATGTTCTCATGCCACTATCCTAAAAAAAGGTATACAAAAACTAATTAAGCTCAAAAAATCCTATGATGAATTTACTGACAGATAAGAAAGGGAGAGTAAACCCTAAAAAGAAGCAAAAAAGTGTTATCTTGTGCACTAAAACCAAGGTGTACCCTAGTGTACAACAAATTACTCAACTCATTCTTTATCTTCTTTGTCTTTGTAGGAGGTGGTTACAAGAACTTCGAATTCGAGAACAAATCCTTTGGAAGAAAGGGAGGATGATGGGACCACAAGTAAAAATAAGGATTTTCTCAATAAATGGGAAGTTCACTTAATAGAGTATTTCCTTAATTCTAATATTCGCAGGAATGTAATAACAAGGGGGCATAAATGTTCACAGAAGAACATGTCTCGAGAACGCACTAGCAAGTATCCACGAATGGGATCTTGCCAAGTCCACACTAAGTAAGGAAATAATTTCGGATATGTTCTTCTTCCTAAATTAAATTATCATGAAAAGAAAAGTAGCCACATACCTCAACACTTTCCTAAATGGAAATATTATCAAGACGAGCCCAACATAAAGCAAAAGGTGGACTTGAGGCTCATAGAGAAGTCTGTGATCATGGGAGTCCGTTTAGAAGAACATTGATCAAATCATGGCCCAATTCGAAGGTGAAGTAAGGCCTCATAGCCTAAAGGCCCAACGGACAAGCAGATCGCACCAAAGGGGAGTGGGCCGACACAATCTGCGCTATTGGAAGACTTCGACCTGTATACTGGAGAAGGCCCTTATGCAGGAAAAAGAGTTGGCACATGAGCGCGCCCAGCATGCATGAAAGGGCCAGGACGCGTGCAAAAGAAAGCTGTTGCTCACGTACTTGTACGGATCAAGCAGCTTGCATGCACGATGTGTACTAAAAAGATGCACATGCATGGGTAGCCTCGCGCACGCACAAGGAAATTGCACACAAGCAGAGGGAAGGTGCACACTATGTGCCACACGCTTGCCGACACTTACTCATCGCACATTGTACGTAGGCAGGATGCCACAAGTGCGAGTGAAGCGTACAAATAAAGATCTTACTGTTAATAAGGACTCTCTTTCTTCTTTTCTCCATGTGATTCAATCCAAAATCACATAGGATAATTGTACCATTATTTTATTAATATTTTGGTAATATTTTATTATATTTTTATCCCTTAAGAATATTTAATTAGTATTTTAGATTAAGAGATTATGATAAGGTTCTTATTTTATTAATTTATAGTCTTTGTATTTGATTGTAAGCATCCAAGTGAAAGTCTATATAAAACCCTCACTATTAGGTTATAAATCAAAACTTTCATAATTTAGAATAAAGTTTCAACTTTGTTACTTGATTAGCTCTTCAAGCATCTTTAAGTTATGGAGCTTTAGACCACCTTATTGAGTCAAAGAAT